TTTTTAATTAATGAATTTTTAAAAAAGCCAACTTTATCCTGAACCCTTATTATATGAAAATGAGTAACAACTTTTTGATGACTAGGTACTCTAGGTACTTACAATGTTGTTGTTTTTGTTTTCTGTACTAGCTTGTGCTTAGCGGCTTCACTCACTCGTAGCACGGTATTATTCATGCGTGATTTTATAAGTAAGTATTTCTCATTAAATAAATAATTCACACAAGTCACACAAATATAATCTTTAAGTAGCTGGTAACAAAGTTTATCTAATCAGGAGTAATCAGACCTAGTACTCAGCAGTCAGCAGTACTGTCTCCTTTAGTTTTTATGAGATAACTTCATAGTTAAACATAAAATCTAATATTACAAAACTTTCTATTATTGGCTTAAGTTAGGAAGAGCCCTAACAGTTCTTGTTTATTCTTTAATCAAAATCTAGAACTTTAAAATTGAATGGATTTACTTAATAAAGATACGGTAAATAATATTCAGTAATACCTACATATTCAATGTCTTTCTATGATCTCAAATCTTTGAAAGAATCTTAATTTTCGCAATACAATACTGTTGCAATACTAGGGCGGGCCACTACTTTATACAATCAGGATTCTGACTCTGGGACCCAGAGTCTAAGTCATGGTTCTAAATTAGGTCTAACAAGCCTAAGAGACTGGAACAGTATATTCCGAATTAGAAATTACACCCACAAAAGTATATAAAACTTCTGTCGGTGATCCATGATCTATGTCTATGAACAACGAAATAAAATAATCTTGAATAAAACTGACTGCCATACTTTATAAAATATTCATCATATTTATTTTATTACATAATATTAGAAACAATGTCCCGGGGCGGGAAGTTTATTTTAGATCGACGAATTATAAGGTAATTTAATACTTTACATTTTCTTTATGAAACATGCGAAAATTGTCTCCGAAGATAATAAGTCTTGTGTTTTCTACGGAGACTAGGTGCGTATCATCTGCACGCACATCATAAGCCCGTAATCGTACATTGCTGGACTCTTCTACATAAGAGGCTTTGCGAAAATCTCCACGCCTTTTTTTTAATGGGGAATATCATCCAATGACTTCTCCAGCCTTGGGTAAGGCGAGATGGAGTTTCAGACTCTTTCTGACTAAAAACGATTCCGTTCACTCCTACCCTTCGAGCTGGAGCTCCGGTAACCCATTAAGTCTTCCGCGGCAATCGCGACGCCAAGCAGGCGGATTGTATTGTCGATGTCGCAGTTTATCAGAGCGCGTTGCTGCTTGGTCTCTATGAATATGAAATCTCTTAGTCAGCTCTTACAGCATCTACAGGAAGAGTAGGAGTGACTTTAGAAAGTGGACGACTTTTAAAAGTATAAAAGGTATTATTATAAATTATACCTTTAGGCAGGGCCGTCTTAGACTGCGCTGGGGCCTTTGGGCACCAAAAATTCGGGGCACTTTTGTAGTGTTTCTTTTTTTTAACGTTACACCACACTAGGATTTTCTCCTGTATCGTGGCGTTTACAAACATACAAGTTCACATACACGTGCCACCCAGACTCGGAACAACAATTTATACATCAAAGATCACAATGATTTGCTCTATAAGTTATTATGTTTTCGGCTTACTCACGTAATAATTTGACGAGGAACTCGAATAGTTTCAAGCCATGCTAGAGGTTCATATTCATGAGCAGCAGATTTGCTCTGTGTGGGAATTAAACCCGCTACACGTTGCCGGGCAGCCGGTCGCCGCGCAACTTGTAGCGTATGTGTGTCCGTCGTAGAAATTTTCGGGGCCCCCTAAGGACGGGGGCCGGGCCCCGAGTGTCTTTAGGTTAAAGACGGTACTGCCTATAGGTACTGTTACATTCTACAAGGTAAATGAAAGCAAAGCTCAAAGTCTCCGTGACTAATGATCCGTCGGCTCTAAGAAATGATATTTTCCTTGGGCAATGAGAAATTATATAAAACAACGTTGATGGATATTGTTTTCTTGGAATGTCCCTTTTTATTTAAGACGAAGATGTATAGCGATACTGGGGTTTTGTTAGGTAATGACTGTTCTTGATTATAATTTTTCGCTTGATGCCTTGTAAAGCCTACGTGTGCTTTTGATGGGGAAATTCATCCAATGACTTCTTCCGCCCGAGTGAGGCGTCAGGGAGTGTCAGACTCTTACTGACTAAAAACCACTCCGTTAATACTCCTGCACTTCGAGCCGGAGCCCCGACAACCCGTTAAATCCTCCACGATCCCATATATAAAATGTGCACTATCTCGTCCGATTTTTCCTTCAAGATAAAATTGTATTTACCATACTTATGTAGGTTATCTTATACAATATCATAATGTATAGGTACTAATATTTATCTACGTCCCCATTAACTACAACAAACAAAACATATTTTGCACTGAATTTTATAGAGGAAATTGTTACTCATGAAACCGTTTCCAAAAATAAGTAGGCTTCATTATATGAAATCCTACGTATTTATTTAAGCACAACACATTCAGGATTAGTGTCATTAAAATATACTTACGTACCATGTACAAACGTAAATTATGGCTTTAGTTAATTATTGTGGGAGTGATGAGAACAATTCATTAATCCCCAATTTTGTTTTATTAATCTCTCTAGCCTTGCGACTTTATTATAAAGTTTAAGCCTCTCATTATAGCGGTCTGAGTGGCGTACCTACCGGTGGCCATGTTCTGTTTATTTTTATAACTATTTAATTACTCTCTAGCTTTTAAAAAGAAAACTTGTTTGAATCCCATAACTATGGGTAAGCGGAGTTGAAAAAAATTGTCAGTAGTAGCACGGAGTCTGAAATGTGCCCGGTATATGGCAATAGGCTCACCCCCTATTACATGAGACTCATATAACATAAATAGTGAACAGTGGGTGTTCATTGTACAATGGCATTAAGTGCAGTAATGTGTACCTCTACCTACCTTTTCGGGGATAAAAAGGGGAGGTATTATGTTCTATTAGTAAGCTTACAGTCAAATGCTGAAGACACATACAATGTCCACGGATTCATCCGAAAAAGAAAAGGGAAAAATAAATCTTCGTGTGAGAAGAGGCCCTTACATATATGATTTTAATGTGACGTGAATAATATGAATTCAAAGATCGAACTAGAAACCTTGTGATCTGTAGTCACACTTCACACAACAATCAAACAAGGGCCATAATATAAAGAACAGTGCAAGGGCATCCATAAACTGATAACATTAAAAGAAAACAGAATTTTAGTACCTTTACTAGCCTTTTTGTGCAAAGGGGAGTACATTGACTGTGCAGATTGCTGAAAATTCCTCATATTGTAGTTGGGCACTATTACGACAATACGTTTAATTTTCGGCGACTAGTTTTCCAGCCCCTGCAGTTATCCCCGACCAAAAAGGTTTTCCGTATGTGAATGAACAAAGCCGTACATTTTGCATTTAATTAAGGGAGACACAGCAAACACTTGAATGAAAAAAAAAATTGGTTGCCTGTAAAGTCGGTATACGGGCGAAAGTTTTACGTGACAACGACTATGAGTGGTAAAATAATTTTAATGTGAATACTCATTCGTATAGTAGGAAGAAGGATGAACTGTGCTCGAGTGGAAGGGACGCGTGGCTCTCACTCGCTCTCATTGTGAGCGCATAACGTGAGCGGAGCGTAACGCAGTTTCTTGAAGTGTCACCCGGCAAACTAATTTATAAGACGTTGTCACGTCAATACCTCAGGAGTTATCAAGAAAGTTTTAGTACTTTATTTACTTACCTCAACGCATTTCGGTTCGAAAATATATGAATATGGTGTTCGATAACAAGTAAACTCGCATCCAGACAGCTACTTCGTTACATCTACGTGACAAATATATTTTACTAGGCCGTCTTCATACAGCTAATTATAGTCAAATAATCTATAATTATATTTACTTAGCCATCAAAATTATTATATTTTTCCATCCCATGCCTGAATTAGAAAGAATTCACAAAAGATTATTAAGTTCTTCCTGTGTTTTTTTTTTAAACTGCTTCACACTAAGTTTTTCTCATGTGGCGGAGGTGCGTTTACAAACATACAATATCACATACACATGACACACAGACCCGGAACAACAATCCGTGGATCACACAAAGAGTTAGCCCGTGAGGGAAACGAACCCGCTACATATTGCGCGGCAGCCTGTTGCCTAGCAACCGCGCCGAAGTTATATAAAACATGTTTATTTAAATAAAGCATATTTTATGTTGTAACATTTTATTATTGTGAAAAGTTGAAAAGGGTTTTCAGAACATGCTTCATGAATAAATAAAAGGGCATCGTCGACGCATACTGTATATAACCCTCAAGTTATACAAATAAAAGACCTTTACGTCTCTCTCAGTTTTCACTGGGCAGCTTAAGTATCACATACATTTTATTATGTTACAAGGGACAATTAGAATTGTCCTTTATTTAAATGTCTGTCTGTCTTATATAATAGTATAAAATAACATAATTTACCTATCTCTTTTATGTCCGAATAATTTATATTTTTTATAAACTGTGTTCAAAAAAACCGACTGCGACCCTCTCTTTTTTGAAGTCAGTTAATTAATACTAAAAACTTCTAATGTAACAAACACTTTTCTGAATACCGCATCAAAATCAGTAACATACCTACATACAAACCTGTCAAACAGATGTATATAGAACTAGCGGACCCAACAGACGTTGTCCTGCATATCCACTTGAATGTATAAACAAAAATTCATTCAAATTAGTTCAGCTGTTTAGGATAAATAACCTAAACATGACTGCAGCGCCATCTGCCGGGCTGATTTGTAAATCTAAACCATTCCCAGATCCCCTTGAACACACACAAAAATTTTTATCAAAATCGGTCCTGTCGTTTGAGAGAAGTTCAGTAACATACACACTCACAGAAGAATTATATATAAAGATTACAGAAAAATAGTTTACCATATTCTAAAGCATATATTTTCTTTGTTACAGTTGGAGAATGTGCAGCTTCTGGACAAGTATAACTTACGGAACCCGTCGAAGGGGACTCTATACTTTGCGACCACACACCTCATATTCGTCGACCATGAGATGAGGAAGGAGACCTGGGTATGTACCTACATAAACACTAACATCAATAGCTAAAGGCCTGGAGTACCAAGCGCGAACAAGTATTGCATTCGTAACGTAATACCCTGATTGGTTGGTTCACTCAAACCGGCCAATCAAAACGCTGAACGCGCTATATACTATTACGTTATGAATGTGATAGTTACTCGTCCAAGCACGACCAACAGACTTAAGGGGCCATCTCTTAAGGGGCCGTTCAAGTATTACGTAAGCACCATGGGGGGTGGGGGGTCTCTGTTTTGCTTATTTCGGATGATATGGGGGGTAGGGGAGTCTAGATGATGATTACGTCATCGGTAGTTATTTACTTTTTTACACGAATGGCAACCCTCATATTGAAATTGTTAATTAAAAGCAAAGACCGACAAAGAACGAGACATTATGGTATTTGAAGAATATTAAAATTACAATATAAAAAAGATATAATTTAAAATGTAAGCAAAGGGAGAGGGGGTAAGATCATTGCTTACTTTTGCTGACAAGGGGGGCGGGGGGGGGGGGTAAATAATTATAAAAATCTGCTTACGTAATATTTGAACGGCCCCTAATTATAAGTTTTACGGCTTACTCACGTAACTAGGCTTCTGTAACTTGCAATTCGGAAGATCAAAGTAAACTCGGTCGCGCGGTTGGTTGTTACAATAATCTCGACCAATGGCTGGCGAGAATTCGATTGAGCTCACTTCGCAAGTTCGAATTGACAGTATCAGAATATCCTAGGTGTTGGTGAGGGAACTCGACCAGTTTCAAGCCACGCTAGGGGCTCATATTCATTAACAGCATTGCGCGACACACGATACGACGAACATAGTGCAGCCATCTCACTTAGATACGTTTCGCAAGAAGTATTTTGTACTGCCCCAACACTAATGTTATTGCAATAAAGGCGAATTTATTACGACAACAATAAACGTTTTTTCAGTCCATTTAGCACAATTTACTTACCCTTTCCACGAGCATAACGTTATACTTGATTAATAATCCAAAATCCAAAATGAACCTTACTGACATTTCGTTCAATCCAGTTGATTTGTTATTTCATTAATAATTCAAGCATTTGTAACCTGTCTAGTTTGTGAGTAGTTGAAATGTTCATTAAGGCAATGAAGTCTAAGCTTTTCACTTGATTGAACACGCTATTCAAATAGTTATGAACCGTTTACCCAAAATTGTCTTAACATGACAAATATTCCAAAATGTATCTTCAGATAAATCACTACATCTTCACTACATCTATATATATAAAAGAAAGTCGTGTTAGTTATACTATTTATAACTCAAGAACGGCAGAATAGATTTGGCTGAAAATTGGTAGGGAGGTCGCTTAGAGCCAGGAGACCGACACAGGATACTTTTAACCCAATTTTTTTTTACTTTTTACTGAAAATCACGTTCTGGGACGGGAAAAAATAGGATTACGCGTACGAAGTTGCGGGCAGAAGCTAGTAGTATATAAAACAAAGTCGCTATTCGCTGTCTGTCTGTCCCCATGTATGCTTAGATCATTAAAATTACGCAATGGATTTTGATGCGGTTTTTTTAATAGATAGACTGATTCTTAAGGAAGATTTATACGTATAATACTTGCATATTGCACCCGTGCGAAGCCGGGGCGGGTCGCTAGTTCATTATAACCATTTTATTTCTAAAGCCACAGGTAACTGAACGTATAGACAAAACATGGAACACTAGTCAAGTGATAGTTATTATTTGCTTAAAGGAAATAATGTTTATTGCGTGTACCGCTGTATTACAGTGATTCCCGACTAGTTTTGAGCCTAACCGGAGCCCTTGATGTACGTAATTGGATCGACCACGAATGTTGTATAATGTACAATGGTATTAAATATATGCTAACTATGCTAACAGTTAAATATTTTCACCAGATTCTACTGATGCACATATCGTCAGTGGAAAGGTTGCCGATCACAACGACCGGGTCTCCGCTCCTGGTGAGAACAAAGACATTCCAATCCGTCTTCTTCGTGATACCTCGCGAGAGAGACTGCCATGAGATGCATCAGACTCTCCTGAGGCTCAGCCAACCAGGTGCGTTGTAACACCTACTAATAAACTTACGACTCTAGAACATAATTTTCCGATGAGTGAGTGAGATTAAATAGGGGACTCCTGAACTCCTCTGGTGTTGGAAGTATCCATGAGCGGCGCTGTTTGTTTACCATCATGTGATTCGTCTAACAATAGTGGATCAAGTGTTATCAATGCTCCTAATATATTTTTCACCTAAAACTAATTTCTTTCAGTACATATCGATGAGTTGTACTGCTTCTTCTATAAATCGACGCCAGACGACCTGCCTAAGTCGGCTGGATGGAACTTCTTCGATATTCAGACGGAATACCAGAGGATGAACGTTCCTAACGACCAGTGGGTTCTCTGCACCGCCAACAAAGACTATGAGGTAAACCATAGGACCAATAAATAATACGTTTAAGGTTTATATCCTAGGATAAGGGGCAAGTATATTGGGGCAGAATAAAAATTAAATTGACTGCCTCGTGAGTCTAATGGTCTCGGGTTCGATTTCCGAGTTGGGTAAAGTGTATTCAGCTTTACGGAAATTTTCAGTAATATTAAAGAGTTTAGATCTGTGAGTGACAGTAGTGAGCCTCCGCCCTAATGATTATATAGTTTTATTTTTACTTTTATTTCTTTGCTTTTTTTTAGAAAAATCGCATTTACTCAGACAATAAGTCACGCTACGTATTTTATTTAAGGTTGATTCTCATCTTACCATTCCAGCTGTGTGACACGTATCCGAGTGAGGTGTACGTGCCAGCTCGCGCGTCCACGGCGGTCCTGCTCGGCAGTGCTAGCTTCAGATCCCGCGGTCGACTGCCAGTGCTCGCATACCTTCATCACAATAAAGCCGCTATAGCTCGCTGTAGTCAGCCTCTCAGCGGGTTTTCTGCCAGGTCAGTTTCTTTTTATTTGTCTTTGCCTAATCTTTTTTTCATCCTCAAATCCACAATCCCTAACGCTACTTACTGCGTGGACGATCTAGAAGCGAACGCTATTACGAAGTGGTGACACGTACAGTACGTATGTCCATGCGAATTATTTCATTAGGTATATCGAAACAAAAACATGACAGTACCGCATACAAATATGACAGTTGGCGCGAAAATATCAAACCAACTGATCGCGTCCGCGTCATTTCGCGCCGCTCCGCACCGCCTCCCTCGGGCGAATTGTCACGAAGGACACTTCAATAGATTTCGACAAAATTGTTCTTTTCGCACCGCCCCACACTGCTCCACATTCAGTTCTAGATCACTCACGCAGGCTGTAACGTTAAAGAACGTAACGCCCTTGTAACTTGTCTGTTGTTGCGGCTGTCCATGGTTAGCGCTATTTGCTTACCATCAGATACCGTCAAATCGTTTGTTGACAAATATAACATTATAAAAAACATACAGCCGAATTAATAACCTCCTCCTTTTTGGGGAGTCGGTTTAAAATCCGTTTTTGTCCCATAGGGTTTTTTTTAAGGAGGCAAAATCATCGAATGACTTCTCCCGCCTGGGTGAGGCGGGAGGGAGTGTCAGTCTCGTACTGACTAAAAACCACCTCGTTCCTTCTCCTGTACGTCGAGCCGGAGCCCCGGTAACCCGTTACGTTGTCCGCGACGTCCCATAGGGGTAGGCAGACATAAGACATTATTAAAGAACTTGTTCGCCATTCGAGGTTAAGTGTTATTTTACAGATATTTAAGATTTAAGGCTAACTTGATGTGCTGCCGTCTGTATAGTTATTGAAAGTCACAATAACGATAGAAAGTCAAAGTCAAGAGCTTTTTAAAGATTTTTTTTTGTTTTTCAGATGCATGGAGGACGAACAGATGTTGGATCTGATCAGGAGGGCGAACCCAAACTGCGGCTATATGTACGTGGTGGATACTAGGCCAAGGGTACGATTTAGCTATAGCTATAATAGTTTATTAACTTTCAAATAAAGTATAGTTTGAATTTGATTGATGACAATATTTAATGTATATGACTGTTGATCGTAATGATGATTATTTTTTCCAGATCAATGCGATGGTGAACCGAGCAGCTGGCAAGGGTTATGAGAACGAAGCTTTCTATGAGAACATCAAGTTTCAGTTCATGGGCATCGGCAATATCCATGTGATGAGGAAGAGTCTACAGAAACTGGTCGAGAGTAAGTATTCCTATGTGCCACTTTGATATCTTGAACTATTTGAACTTGAAAATTCCGTTTTTATCCATAATATCTGGTTTTTGAGAAAAATTCATTAGCACTGACGTCAAAAATGACCTTAATTCAGATTGTAAAGATAAATAAATATTCGTAAATCAATTTCAGCCGTTAAACTAACTGTCTAGCCATGACCACATGAATAACGAATCCATCCCTGAGTTAAGAGATATATATTAGAGAGACATATATTCAATAATAATACTTTTCGGTCCAAATTCTAGACTCAAAACTGGTAATTAACTCTCGCTCTTCCTGCAATTAGATTTCACTTTCATGGTGAACATTTTTATATCATGTAAAAACCGTGAAATTGTTTAAAGATTTGTGAAGTTATTTTCTTGTTATTTTTATTTGCAGCTTGTGAACAAAACACGCCTACAATGTCCTCCTTCCTCAGCGGGTTGGAGTCCTCCGGGTGGTTGAAACACATCAAGTAAGTCACTTCACTATTGCCTTATTTTGTCTTGCTTATAGAAGTTGCACCACACTAGGATTTTCCCATATTTCATGAGTGTGTTTTGACTAAACGGTTGACACAATATTCTCGTATGAATATTCTCTTTATGCGATTCACAAATTGTTGTTCCCGGTTTAGGTGTGGTGTGTATGTGAATTTGTTAACGTGTGGGAAGTTGGCATTTTTTTTCAACACGCTACAACAGTGGACTCCTGTGGATTATATTATTTACGTCATTTAATGTACATACACAAAAAATACAGATACATAAGGCGGATTTTATACCATATAGCGTCATCTTCCAATCAAACTCAGGATTAAGTAAAGTAGAAAATCGACACGTCGTGGTGGATGGCGGGCGCGCTGGAGGCCGGCGTGAGTGTACATAGTTGATTGATGATGGTGTGTGCCAGGTCCATCCTGGACACGTCGTGGTGGATGGCGGGCGCGCTGGAGGCCGGCGTGAGTGTACATAGTTGATTGATGATGGTGTGTGCCAGGTCCATCCTGGACACGTCGTGGTGGATGGCGGGCGCGCTGGAGGCCGGCGTGAGTGTACATAGTTGATTGATGATGGTGTGTGCCAGGTCCATCCTGGACACGTCGTGGTGGATGGCGGGCGCGCTGGAGGCCGGCGTGAGTGTACATAGTTGATTGATGATGGTGTGTGCCAGGTCCATCCTGGACACGTCGTGGTGGATGGCGGGCGCGCTGGAGGCCGGCGTGAGTGTACATAGTTGATTGATGATGGTGTGTGCCAGGTCCATCCTGGACACGTCGTGGTGGATGGCGGGCACGCTGGAGGCCGGCGTGAGTGTACATAGTTGATTGATGATGGTGTGTGCCAGGTCCATCCTGGACACGTCGTGGTGGATGGCGGGCGCGCTGGAGGCCGGCGTGAGTGTACATAGTTGATTGATGATGGTGTGTGCCAGGTCCATCCTGGACACGTCGTGGTGGATGGCGGGCGCGCTGGAGGCCGGCGTGAGTGTACATAGTTGATTGATGATGGTGTGTGCCAGGTCCATCCTGGACACGTCGTGGTGGATGGCGGGCGCGCTGGAGGCCGGCGTGAGTGTACATAGTTGATTGATGATGGTGTGTGCCAGGTCCATCCTGGACACGTCGTGGTGGATGGCGGGCGCGCTGGAGGCCGGCGTGAGTGTGTGCGTGCACTGCAGCGACGGCTGGGACCGCACGGCGCAGGTGTGCTCGCTCGCCGCGCTCTGTCTCGACCCGCACTACCGGACCATCAACGGATACCAGGTCATACTCATTTACTTACCTTTGCTAATCGACTCCCACTGTGTAATGTAATGTCTAAAAAATATATCCAGTATATATCTAGTCTATACTGGGTAGACTACGTTTTACAGCAACTTCCGCCTCCTGCTTTTTTCAAGTCAGATAATAATAATGGCTAATCCAACCAAAACAACCAAACCAAAGTCTAGATGGAGCTGCTTGTTCATTTCTAGTAATGAAATCTAGACTAAGTCGTGCCAAGTCTAAGGTTCCTTACTGTGATTTCTTTATAATTATAGTTGATGTTATGTGATTTGGCCGTAAAAGGGTACAAAAAGGTATAAAACCAGGTGCAAGACACCATTCCACCAAAAAAATCCTCATCAATCGATCATTATACAACCCCTCGCCTGATGTAGCAGGCAGCGAAGGAATCATCCGAGACAGGCATCAGCCTGGATCGTGCGTCCTCGCGCCCCCAGCCGGGGACGTAGAGATGACCTGACGACGATTGCACCAATCTGTCGCCAGAACTGCTGTTTATTCAACCAACTTTGCCTTAGTGGCAATTTTCCATCTTCATGGGTATCATCACTAATGGGTAGCGGCTCAGTAGAAAGAGGATTTTATTTTTACGCTATACTGCGCGAACACACAATAACACTAAAAATTTTACTTTACAGGCGCTAATAGAGAAGGATTGGCTATCATTCGGTCACAAGTTCACAGCCCGGTGTGGGCACATTGCGTGCGATGGCCGCGAGAGGTCGCCAGTGTTCACGCAACTACTCGACTGTACCTGGCAACTGTTGCGACAGAGACCTGAGGTTAGAAAACTTTATGACCTTATAGAAAACCGGTCTTTGTAAGGTTACTGAACCCCTAATCCACCACCTATCCCCAATCCTCCCCCTATCCTCCTCCTTCTCCTCCTATCCTCAATTTTCAAATCTCTAACCCTCCAAAAAGCTGGCAACGCACTTATAAGACTCCATGGGCGCATCGATTGCTCACCATCAGATGATCTGTCTATTGCTAATTGTTGTCTAATTGGTAGCTTGTTCATCCGCAATTCACTTAAGGGGCCTGTAGAATACCAGCGCAAGGCCCTGTATTGCACATACTGAACTGGTACCATTTCATCGCCTTCTTGGAACATGAACATGTACCCATCAGTCTTTATAAACTATAATTTTTTTTTTACAAGTTCCCCCACACTAGCATTTTCTCCTGTGTCGTGGGTGCGTTTACAAACATACAAGTTCACATACACATGACACCCAGTCCCTTTATAATCTGTTCATGTCACTTGTTTTTAGCGTGTTACATAATATGGGTTTTTTTTTCGTTCTTTCCGTCTGCTTAAACAACGCTTGCGATGTGTGCACTGAGGTTACCAGAGGCCCAATTCCTTTTTGGAGATGTTGTGTGCAGAGATTGAAACAGGTTGAAGTCGTGTATGCGTGGTCGCAGAGCGTGTGCGTCCAGGGGGCTTACTCTTGAATCCAATTCCGATCGATCGACATTGAAATCGTGAAATTTCGTACTCTTGAGTTGCAACACTAGCGCCAATTGCATCCGTATTGCATGGATTTTTCATGAACTAAATAGTATTGGGCACGGAATATAGAATACAATGGAAGTAGCAAGTAGGCGTGGCACGCGTGCCACAACCCTGCAGTGTCCAGCTTACTCGAGGCAAATTCGAGTTCAGTCTCGTTCGAATATTTGCTAGTCACGTGACAAATACATATTTCCTCAACTATGCCGTTTTGTTCCGTTTTGGCGTGTAAAAATGATAGCAGCCGAAAAATCGTAAAAATGGAGGTGTTTCGTATCATCGGTAAGTACAATTTTCACTGTTTTCTTGTAGAAACCTTATTTTATTTCAATTTACAAAAACGGTTAGTAAATAATATTATTTACTAAAACGGTTAGTCAAAATCAACCTTACCTGCCTTTAAGATAAAGTTTATTTTGGATTTATTCCATTCAATAGAACATTCTCGCCAGTTCTACGCTACTCAAATAGTGATGTGGTCAAATCACATATTGAATTTATCGATTGATATCGATGCAAGTGTAATGTAACATTTATTTAGATTATTTTTTTTATTATTTTAGTGGTGACCCCGACGTGATTGGAAGCAACCTTCACTTCACGGAGCAGATCAGCACCGTCATCCTTACCGCCATCCCTCTCATTTATCATGTTATCCATATAAAGTTTGTAAAAATTTATGTAATAGTTGTTACTTATATTGCCTACGTGAAATAAAAAAATGATTTTTAAAAAAAAGAAAAAAATGGTTTTTGATTTACATGCAAATAAATACTTACCCTTTTTTGTTACGTTTAAAAAGTTACCAACGACATATTAATTTTATTACTTTAATACTGTCAATATTTTTTTTTCACATTATTATTAAAACACATTTTCATATTATCGATATTATTTTTATCGAATTAGGCTACATCACTATCTGAGTAGAGACCCGCATTCGAGCCAGTGATAAGCCATTCAAATATCACCTTTATTCTTACGACGTTAAAGTTCAAACCAAGTACCACTTTTCGTCGCTAGATGGCATTGTTAAACGCCATCTAGCGACGAATGGCGGTACTTGGTAGTCCAAAATATACTTTTTTATTTTGATTTATAGTGCATTCATTTTAAAGTTGAATATCGTATGATATTTTTTTTACATTTCGTTTACGTTCATTTTTTTTCTAACCAATCGTAACTTCTGATTTATAGTATGAGTAAATTATAAATATATTAGTTTGGCGACACCGGTTCTGGCAGAAATATTGTTTCAAGCTACTTCCATTGTATTCTATATTCCGTGGTATTGGGTTTGGCTATATATTCCGGGTTCTCAATGCTACTTTAACAGCTACGATAGGGGTTGTATAGTTTTGACATTGAATAATTGTTGAGATTTTATTGTATTTAAATTGCATTGACATTGAGATTGGTTTCAAGAGTAAGCACCCAGATGTCTCGGAGCGTAGGCGATGTCGAGTGCTCCGAGGATGAGTGAGGAAAAGAGTTTTACCTTGTGAGCGATGGCTTTTTAGATAGGCCCAGATGGAATAAAAGAGTGGACTGTATTTCTTGGTTTAATAGGTTTTCTTGAGTAGGCTATTAGTACAAATTAAATTCGCAATCCCGTCCGTTCTTGCTCGCGTTGTCGTCAGGTGTATGTGGAGGGCGCGCGAGCCGTCGCTGCCCCGCCACGCCGCCCGCTCCCCTCTGCTTGAGATGCATGTGTGTCTGCATGTGCGTGCGTGTTAACGTGTGCGTTAACATATTCCCGGGCGACCAAGGAAAGGCCAGCCCAGGTGATGATGATGTATGATATTTCATTATCAGTCCGATGGTACATCCAGTAATGGGCATATTTTATGAAAGGCACGTCTGATTGTCCCGGTCTTTACTTTGATGTCTGCCACTCGAGCCTCTCCGTCATGTCCCGGATACAGCTTCACGATACGTCCCAATGGCCACTGAGCCACCGGTAGCGCCTCATCTTTCACGATGATCAATGAGCCCTCTGTAAGCGCGCCGCGTGAACGTTGCCAGCGCGTTCGTTGATGCAACTGAGAAATGTATTCCTTATTAATCTGTCAAACACCAAGCGGTCACCGGTAACCGCGACCTATTGTTCTTTAATTGTGTCTATAAAACCGGTACTCGACGAGTTAAAGCGTCTCCAAAAATGTTGGCGTAGAAGTTCGATTCGGTGATGACGCGGCAGCCGTGCCGTGTCGCAGTCGGACATCTGTGGATGAGGTAGAACAGTTAGAGTACGACCAATTAGAAAATGAAAGGGAGTGAGAGCGGAGAGATCATTGGGATCGGATGAAAGAGGTGTGAGAGGCCTTGAGTTGAGGATGCCTTCTATTTGAACTAGCAACGTGTACATTTCTTCATATGTGAGGTGTGCCATCCCTAGTACTCTTTTGAGATGATGTTTTACTGATTTAACGGTGCTTTCCCATAGGCCCCCGAAGTGGGGTGAATATGGAGGAATGAAATGAAAGTTTACACCTTGTTCTGCAGCGCAACTGTAAATTGACTCACCGTGATTTCTAAGAAAGTTGGTCACCACACGAGCGGCACCTACCAGATTTTTTCCATTGTCTGAATAAATATTATTTGGTTTACCTCTGCGAGACATAAACCTGTTAATTGCCGCTATGTAAGACTCTGTCGTTAGATCTGTAACCAATTCCAAATGCACAGCTTTCACGGCAAAACAGATGAAAATGCAGATGTATGATTTAACAAGTACACTTCCACGCCCCTTACGGTTGTTGATCATAATTGGCCCTGCGTAGTCGACACCTACGTCACTGAATACAAAATTTGCATGCAATCTCTGTTCAGGTAATTGCCCCATGATAGGTGTTACAGTTTTACCTTTAAACCGTTTGCATGTAACACATGATTGTGTAGTTTTTCTAGCCAAGTTTCTACCGGAAATTGGCCAGAATGTTTGACGTATGTGAGACAATAGCAATTGTGGGCCAGCATGTAGAAGTGTGATGTGATATGTTGAGAATAATTTGAGTTATGTAATGAGCTGAATGCAATAGGATAGGAAATTTTCTATCGTAATTGTATGGCGATTGAGCTAACCTTCCGCCCACACGAATGAGGTTATCATCCCCTATGAAAGGATTAAGTGAATTTAACTTATGTGATGTAGGTAATTGTTTGTTATGTAATAATAATTGATATTCCTCAAAAAATAAATCTAGTTGCACTAACTTCGCTAATTGGTATCTAGCTGAATTAAGTTCGCTAGTAGATAAGGGTATGACGTCACCTATGAGCATCTGTTGACGTTTTTTAATGTTGATTTGATTTAATTTTGATTGTTTGTGTTTGCAGTAATGAATGAACCGAAGAATGTAAGCTACGATTCGTGTAAGTTTGTTAAAATTAGAATATTTGTAAATGAATTGTTATCAGTTACATGTTTGTGCGTGAGATGTGTTTGAGACCGGACTTCTGGAAGGTCAGATACGCTGAAATGCCCTGGTTGATGAGGCCAGCTGTGTTTATCATCATTCCTTAAAAAGTCAGGTCCTGAAAACCATAAAGGTGTATGGAGTAATTGTTGTGCATTGGTACATTTAGTAATAATATCAGCTGGGTTTTGTTTAGTTGGTACATAGTGCCATGTCTGTGGTTCAGTATGTTTGAGAATGTCCGTGACTTTGTGTTTTACGAATGTTTGTAATTTATGTGTAGGTGAGTTTATCCAAGATAAAACAATCATTGAGTCACTCCAATAATAACACTTACAATTTTTGTTGCGAACGGAGTTCAATATCTTATTACTTAAATTAACACCGGTCAACGCGGCACATAATTCAAGTCGCGGTATGGTAAGTGCTTTTAAAGGAGCCACCCGTCCCTTGGCAACTAACAGTTGAACACTGATACTGCCATCTGATGTATAAGTACGTATATATGCGCATGCACCGTATGCCTGTTGTGAGGCGTCGCAAAAAATATGCAGTTCAATGTAATCGCGCGATGAGTCATTAAATGCTCGCCGTGGAATAGATAAATGATTTATAAAAGATAACGATTCTACGAACTTTGCCCATTGTTGTTGTATTGAAACCGGTATTTCATCGTCCCAGCTGACGTTGTGTGTCCACATCTGTTGCATAATTAGCTTAGCTTCGAGTATGCAAGGGCTAATAAGTCCCAGTGGGTCGAAAATATGACCTATGGTGGATAAGATTGTGCGTTTTGTGATTTGTTTTTGTGATACAAATTCTGAATGTACTGTGTATGAAATTGTGTCTTTGTTAATGTTCCAATAAATGCCTAGTGTTTTAGATGGATCATTTGAGCTCAGATTGAATGTTGTGTCATTTGAATCATTGAAACCCAGATGTTGTAGAACAGTTTGACAATTAGACTGCCATTTTCTTAGTGGAAATTGATATTTTTTTAATTCAAGAAAGACACCTTTGGCGATTTCAAAGAGTAATGACTCATCATCGGTTCCTGTCAAAAGATCATCACAATAAAAATCATGCAAGATGACCTCGGAGACAATTTTGTGATCATAGCTGTCTGAATGATTCTGTGTGTTTTTACAATCTAAGCCTATTTGTTTTATGCAGCGTGTTGCTAAATACGGCGCCGATGCCGTGCCATATGTGACAGTGTTGAGCGTATATGTTTGCAGAGGTTCCGTAGGATTGTATCGCCATATGATTTGTTGTGTTGGGCGCTGATGCTCCATCAGCACCACCTGGCGGAACATTTTCTCAATATCTGATGATATTATAAACTTATGTTGTCGAAACCGTATGAGTATAGAAACAAGATCGTCTTGGACGACAGGTCCTACTAACTGAATGTCGTTGAGTGATAGTTTTGAGGACGTCTTTGCGGAACCATCAAATACTACTCTGAATTTTGTAGTGGTGCTGGTCTCGCGTACAATCCCGTGATGTGGAAGGTAGTATACTGGTGAGTGCTGTGTGTTTGTGTTCGTGCTGGTACCTGACTGTAGGTTTGATGTTTTATGTTCTGATTTAATGTATGTATTTTGATGTGAGTGTTTGTTTAAAGACATGTGGCCTAGCTGTATGTACTCTGTTATGAAGTTTGAGTACTGTTGTTTGTATGTGGGATTTGAATTCATGCGGTTTTCTATGGAATAAAACCGTCTTTTTGCTTGAAAATAGGAGTCACCTAAACAATCAGGTGACTTTTTAAATGGAATAGTGACAACGAATCTACCATCACTTTGTCTTATAGTTGTTTGAGTGAAAATTATCTCGCATGCATCTGAGTCGGAAGGATCGTCTACTTGTGTATTAGTTAAACTATCTAGCTCCCAGAAGCGTGATAACTGATCTGAGCTGTTGTTATTGAAAAAACAACTGTTTGCTTGCTTGTCGGTGTTTGTTGTGCAACCGGAAACTAGCCAGCCTAATTCAGTTTCTTGTAAAGTAGGCTGGTTTTTGCCTAATCGAATGTGACCGCTGCTAATTATTTGCCAAAATATGTCTGCACCTAGCAATATGTCAACTGCTGCGGGTTCATAGAACTGAGGGTCGGCTAGTTTTAAATGTTTAGGTATATTCAAACCTTGTGTATTGATGCGCATGTAAGGTAATGACTGTGCTATCGTGTCAAGTACCAAACATGATAAGTTAGTTGTGAATGAACCATGTAATGATTTTATCTGAATTTTTGTGCGATAAAAAATGTTTGTTTGCTGCTGATTTATGCCTGAAACTGTGCCGTGTATGGGTTCGAATGTAAGATTAAGCTTTTTACTCAGACTGTTTGTAATGTAACAGGAGGTACTTCCACTGTCCAGCAAAACCCTGGCTAAGTGTGGTGTTCCATCACTAGCGATGACATGCACTAAGGCAGTGGAAAGTAATACTGATGCGTGTTGTGATTGTGAGCTACTGTTACTAGCGAGTGTGGTGTGCACAGTGTCTTTAGTCGGTCCCTTATGTATGTGTAGCATTGTGTTGTGTTTCTGTTGACAATATTTACATGCTCCTCCACGGCATGACTTTGTTTCATGACCGTTATGCAAACAGTTAGCACAGAAGTTGGAAAACTTAGAAACTTTCTCTATTCTCTTTTCCACGGTCATTTGTTTGAATTGTGAACAACCGAATAGAAAATGATGACCTTTACATAGGGGACAAGAAATGCGAGATTGTTTATCTTTAGCATCTGATTTTAACTCGTCGAGTACCGGTTTTATAGATACAATTAAAGAACAATAGGTCGCGGTCACCGGTGACCGCTTGGTGTTTGACAGTTTAATGAATGCGATTTTGAATCGGTTTGTTGTGTGGTTTTTGTGTCTTCGAGATTTTGTAAAAGCATGAAACGATTACTGAGATATGTCTTTAAATTTTGAAGTGTGGGCTTTTCTACTGTGTCGTTATTGATTGATTCTTTCCAATATCTGAGTGTTGTGATATCTAATTTGGAGGTAATAAGATAAATCAACATTGAATCTACTGTGGGTTCGCCTAGTGTATTAAGAGCTCTGAGATTTTTATTTACTGTATCTAGTAAGTGTCTGAGTGATGTTGCTGATTCTTTTTCAATGTTTTGTATGTTGAATAATGCGTGAAGATGATTGTATATCAGCTGATGTGTGTTATTATATCTTTCTGTGATCAGTTCCCAAGCTACCCTGTAATTGTTTGATGACATTTCTAACGATTTAATAACATCGGAAGCTTCACCTTGCAGAGATGCACGCAAATAATGAAACTTCTGAATACTATCTATTGATTTGTTGTTGTGTATCAGTGATTCAAAAGTGTCCCTGTATTCGAGCCAATTGTGATAATCTCCTGAGAAGTGTGGAAGGTCAATGGTGGGTAATTTAATAAATGCTTTGGTTGTGTTACCCTCACTTGGAGTTGGTACAGACCGTCGACGCCAGCAGTTTCATTTTCTCGCAGCAGATGGATGCCGAGCGCAAGTTGAGATTGATAATCCATTTCAAATTGCTCCCGCTCCCTCAGCTGTTCATCTGAAACCCCAGTGATGTCGTCGATGAGGGTTTGATTTTTATCGAACTCGTTTGCGAGATACTTGTAGGACTCCAATCGATTGCGTAATTGAATAATATCTAAATCAGACAATGGCTTTTTGGATTTTAATGACTCGAGATAATTTTTAAAAACCGTGACCTTGCCTTTATGACTGGATCTCCTCTTTTTGTATGTATTGAGGTGAGGAATGTCACATTCGTTGGGATTATTTAAAGTTTGAGCTGATTTAGGGTCAGTCATTATTACTGAAATTTGATAAAAGTAACGAACTTAAATTAAATGAATACTTAAATTTGATTGGGGGTGTGGCATGGACCGCGCGACGAGCACGTAACCTTACCAGATTACCCTCAGAGAACGTGGTGTTAACTCGTTACGCTGGGAACAAGGTGATGTATGCTGTTGAGGAAAAATAAATGTATTAGAAAGCGATGCAATTATTAAAAGTAACAATTGATGATGGGATCAAACTTCTTTTTTTTAAAAAACAACTACAAGAAAATTGAGAAAATAGGTGTAGGGTAGGTGAGAAAAAAAATCTGATGCAATAATTGTGAAAAATTGAGTGTAAATATGGACTAATGATAGCTGAATTGATGTTTGGAATTGGGAATAGATGGCAATTAAGCAAGTTCACTGAATATGAGATGATTTTGAAAGAATGAATTGGTCGAACTCACGAAACCGCTGCTACCAAACCCTTTGTTCGTCCTTAGCGACTGATGATGTGGCCAGCACTGCTTGTTGCTGTGATGTAGCTCTGCTTCCAGATGCTGGTAGGTTGAATTCGTTGATGCGACGCCTTCTATTTGACCTCCAGCTGATTTCCGGCCGCTTTTGTGGTGGCGTAGCTTGCGATCGCGAGACGTTTTTGCTTTTAACTCGACTAATTACTTCGAAGGACCATAGATAGGCCCAGATGGAATAAAAGAGTGGACTGTATTTCTTGGTTTAATAGGTTTTCTTGAGTAGGCTATTAGTACAAATTAAATTCGCAATCCCGTCCGTTCTTGCTCGCGTTGTCGTCAGGTGTATGTGGAGGGCGCGCGAGCCGTCGCTGCCCCGCCACGCCGCCCGCTCCCCTCTGCTTGAGATGCATGTGTGTCTGCATGTGCGTGCGTGTTAACGTGTGCGTTAACACTTTTATATCATTCCAGGTATATCCCTACTATAGCCATACTCACACCCAATGAGACATCTGGCCGCCACGTGCTCCCCGAAATACCGTTTATACAATACATAATAAAACATAATTGGTACGAAAATGAACAAATGAATAGGCACAATAAACGAATCTAAACTAGAATAGGGCAATTGTGGAAGTTAACGCTAGGCCTTAAAAGTAATAAAGGTATAAAAGGACTTTATTGTAGTGATTGGCGTTTGGGTCCTCTGTTGAATATCGCCAACATTTGATCAGCAGCTGGTGTGGCTACACCTTTAATCTCTACATCCCCAATCTACAAAGTTACAAACTGCAAATACCTAACCCCTCAAAACCCGTCAACCCACTTGTAACTTCTTTGTTATTCAAAGTGTTATGAGCGACTCTGAAATATACCTGCCTAATAACAGTGTTTTTGAATACATAACATTACCTTTTATCCCCGAAGGGGTAGGCAGAGGTGCACATTATGCCACTGCACAATGTAACACCCACTTTTCACTATTTATGTTATGAATCCCATGTAATAGGGGGTGAGCCTTTTGCCATATACCGGGCACTTCCAGACTCCGTGCTAATACTGAGAATTTAAAAAAAAAACCAGTAATACTTTGCCCGACCCAGGAATCGAACCCGAGACCCCTTGCCGCCCAGTCGCACTTGCGACCTCTCGGCCAACGAGGCAGTGTTTTTGAACATTTGTTTATTATTTACAGGCGTTCCAGTTCAACGAGAGGTTCCTCCTGACGTTGCACGATCACGCGCATGCGTGCCAGTATGGGACCTTTATAGGGAACTGCGAGAAAGATAGGCGGGACTTACGGTATGATGAGTACGATACGTATCAGGCTATGCATAACCAGTATAAAATTTCCGTAAAATAGGGTAGATGAGTAATTTTTATTTTAATGTCCGTCTGGTAGATTATTTTAAAACATTAGACACGTATTTTTTATTTTTTTACAGAAACGAATACTTTCGACGATATATTGATTTGAAATGTCGTGTGACGTCACTTCTATGTACATTGTATACGTAGAAATGACGTTTTAGCCCCCACTCCTAAACTTTGATTCATTATATCTAAGTATCACTTTGTTATACGACAAAATAAAAAAACACGTGTCTAATATTTTTTCATTATCTGACTGACGGACTAATTAGATTTTTAATTTTCATACCCTGTCATCATCCCTATTGTTCGGACAAACCAAAACGAAACCATGATGATAAATTGGTTCTGTATATCTTGATATGTAACTGTGTGAATAATATTTAAACACTTAATAATAATTTACCTGACCCAGGAATCGAACCCGAGACTTCTTACTCAGTCCCACTTGTGACTTGTCACACTCTACTAAAGCGGCAATCTAATTAAATTTAATAATACTGAAGTTTTCCACTATAAATTACTGCTACACCCGCGCGGCTTCACCCGCTGTGTCCGATTCCTATATATCGTAGCGTGATGTTATATAGCCTAAATAGCCTTACTCGATAAATTGGGTATCCAACACAAAAATATTTTTCAAATCGGACCAGCAGTTTCTGAGATTAACGCGTACAGACACAAAAACTCTTCAGCTTTATATAATAAGTATAAGATACAAGATAAGATTAAATAATAATTATTATAGTAACCATCTTGAGACATACTAAATACACTCAAAATCGCGCGGTACTCACGTGAATGTACTGAGAAAAGCTCTACTAGTTTCGAACCACAGAGGGGTTCTTCCTCATGAGCAGCGTGCGCGGTCGCGGCGACGTCGCGCATCCTACTGGCTAGCGTTGGCGCAGCTCAAGTAACAGCACCGATACAAGCGCCAACGCTAGAAAAACCCCTCTTTGGTTCGAAACTAGTAGAGCTGTTCTCAATATATTAATATATTCACGTGAGTAACCCGCGATTTTTAGTGAATAATTATAGATTTGAAGTTTTTTGCAGGTTATCAGAACGTACATTCTCTCTATGGGGCTACATGGCGAGTCATTTGAACGAGTACAAGAATCCGTTGTACAACCCCAAGTCTCACCCTGATGTACTGAAACCAGACTTAAGTGCACAGAGCATAAGGTACATTTTCAATTACATCAACTGTAAAAGAATTAATCTTAGTCTCTTTGTGCCACTCGAACACACGGCAAAACCAGTGTAAACTGAACGTCGAATGTGCGGATGGATGATACAAAGCGAGGCCAAGATAAACTGGTTTTGTATACCTTGATGTGTATGTACGTGCAATACATCATGCTAATGGCGTTATTTTTTTTTTATTCTGAGGCCTTAGTACCAGTTTGTTTTACGTTAAAAGTTGAAGATAAGACTGCATTCGGCGGTCTTATTGGTTGATTCATTGGAGCCGGCCAATCAGGAGCGCTGAACGCTTACTCGTTTCGATAACTATTAACGTAAAAAAAAGTCGTACTAAGGCTCTACGTACGTACTCTGATGAGTAAAGAATTCAGTTTACCACAGATTCGCTAGTTTGGCGAACGGTCTACTGTCCAGTAAAGTATTTACTAAGTATTGTCATTGAAATTTAAATTTTTGTTCATCATCATCATCAACAGCCTTTAAATGCCCACTGCTGAGCAAAGCCTCTTCTCACACGGAGAAGGTCAGAGCATTAATCACCACGCTTGCTCAATGCGGGTTGGCGATTTCAAACTTATAATTAGAAATTATAAGTTCAGGTTTCCTCACGATGTTTTTCCTTCACCGTTTTGTCAGTGGTGTCTAAATAATCTTAGAAAGTACATATAACTCGGAAAAAGTCACATTGGTACTTGCCGTTGGTAGGTTTCTAACCCGCACCCTCATGCATGAGAAGTGGGCGTCTTAAACCTCCGGGCCACCACGACTCCTTTTTAAATTTTTGTTAGCTACAGTGATTGTACAAACAGGAACCCCACACTACATTGGTACTATCAAATGGGCTGAAAATCGGTAGTTCTTAATCTCATTGACATGATGAACTTTTGCAGGTTCTGGCGCGGCATGTACTGCCGACACGAGAGTGGCGTCCACCCCAGGGAGGCGCTGGCAGACCTCCTCCCTGCCGCCGTGGACCACACCTCCGCGCTACACCTGCACATCAACTACCTCACCAAGGTACACACACACACACACACACACACACACACATACACGCTGGCAGACCTCCTCCCTGCCGCCGTGGACCACACCTCCGCGCTACACCTGCACATCAACTACCTCACCAAGGTACACACACACACACACACACACACACACACACACACATACACGCTGGCGGACCTCCTCCCTGCCGCCGTGGACCACACCTCCGCGCTACACCTGCACATCAACTACCTCACCAAGGTACACACACACACATACACGCTGGCGGACCTCCTCCCTGCCGCCGTGGACCACACCTCCGCGCTACACCTGCACATCAACTACCTCACCAAGGTACACACACACACACACACACACACATACACGCTGGCGGACCTCCTCCCTGCCGCCGTGGACCACACCTCCGCGCTACACCTGCACATCAACTACCTCACCAAGGTACACACACACACACACACACACACACACACACATACACGCTGGCGGACCTCCTCCCTGCCGCCGTGGACCACACCTCCGCGCTACACCTGCACATCAACTACCTCACCAAGGTACACACACACACACACACACACACACACACACACACATACACGCTGGCGGACCTCCTCCCTGCCGCCGTGGACCACACCTCCGCGCTACACCTGCACATCAACTACCTCACCAAGGTACACACACACACACACACACACACATACACGCTGGCGGACCTCCTCCCTGCCGCCGTGGACCACACCTCCGCGCTACACCTGCACATCAACTACCTCACCAAGGTACACACACACACACACACACACACACACACACACACACACACATACACACACATACACGCTGGCGGACCTCCTCCCTGCCGCCGTGGACCACACCTCCGCGCTACACCTGCACATCAACTACCTCACCAAGGTACACACACACACACACACACACACACACACACACATATACGCTGGCGGACCTCCTCCCTGCCGCCGTGGACCACACCTCCGCGCTACACCTGCACATCAACTACCTCACCAAGGTACACACACACACACACACACACACACACACACACATACACGCTGGCGGACCTCCTCCCTGCCGCCGTGGACCACACCTCCGCGCTACACCTGCACATCAACTACCTCACCAAGGTACACACACACACACACACACACACACACACACACACACACACACATACACGCTGGCGGACCTCCTCCCTGCCGCCGTGGACCACACCTCCGCGCTACACCTGCACATCAACTACCTCACCAAGGTACACACACACACATACACGCTGGCGGACCTCCTCCCTGCCGCCGTGGACCACACCTCCGCGCTACACCTGCACATCAACTACCTCACCAAGGTACACACACACACACACACACACACACACACATACACGCTGGCGGACCTCCTCCCTGCCGCCGTGGACCACACCTCCGCGCTACACCTGCACATCAACTACCTCACCAAGGTACACACACACACACACACACACACACACACACATACACGCTGGCGGACCTCCTCCCTGCCGCCGTGGACCACACCTCCGCGCTACACCTGCACATCAACTACCTCACCAAGGTACACACACACACACACACACACACATACACGCTGGCGGACCTCCTCCCTGCCGCCGTGGACCACACCTCCGCGCTACACCTGCACATCAACTACCTCACCAAGGTACACACACACACACACACACACACACACACACACACACACATACACGCTGGCGGACCTCCTCCCTGCCGCCGTGGACCACACCTCCGCGCTACACCTGCACATCAACTACCTCACCAAGGTACACACACACACACACACACACACATACACGCTGGCGGACCTCCTCCCTGCCGCCGTGGACCACACCTCCGCGCTACACCTGCACATCAACTACCTCACCAAGGTACACACACACACACACACACACACACACACATACACGCTGGCGGACCTCCTCCCTGCCGCCGTGGACCACACCTCCGCGCTACACCTGCACATCAACTACCTCACCAAGGTACACACACACACACACACACACACACACACACACACATACACGCTGGCGGACCTCCTCCCTGCCGCCGTGGACCACACCTCCGCGCTACACCTGCACATCAACTACCTCACCAAGGTACACACACACACACACACACACACACACACACATATACGCTGGCGGACCTCCTCCCTGCCGCCGTGGACCACACCTCCGCGCTACACCTGCACATCAACTACCTCACCAAGGTACACACACACACACACACACACACACACACACACATACACGCTGGCGGACCTCCTCCCTGCCGCCGTGGACCACACCTCCGCGCTACACCTGCACATCAACTACCTCACCAAGGTACACACACACACACACACACACACACACACACACACACATACACGCTGGCGGACCTCCTCCCTGCCGCCGTGGACCACACCTCCGCGCTACACCTGCACATCAACTACCTCACCAAGGTACACACACACACACACACACACACATACACGCTGGCGGACCTCCTCCCTGCCGCCGTGGACCACACCTCCGCGCTACACCTGCACATCAACTACCTCACCAAGGTACACACACACACACACACACACACACACACACACACATACACGCTGGCGGACCTCCTCCCTGCCGCCGTGGACCACACCTCCGCGCTACACCTGCACATCAACTACCTCACCAAGGTACACACACACACACACACACACACACACATACATACACTGCCATTAAAATGTTAAATACTAACTTAGCTTGGATTTCGCCAGCGCATCGTTCCCGTGGGATAAGAAGTAGCCTATGTGTTTATCTAGACCGTTATCTTTCCTTGTTTTTTTATGGGATAAGCCGGTAATCGAGCAGACGGATCACCTGATGGTAAGCAATCCCCGCCGCCCATGGACACCTGGAACACCAGAAGCGTTACAAGTGCGTTACTGGCATTTTGGAGATTAGGAGTTTGAGGATGTTGGGGATTCAGGGATTGGAGTAGAATTCGACGAAACACAACACAAGTTGCTTCACGTCAGTTTTCTGTGAGGCCGTGGTGTCACTCCGGTCGAGCCGGCCCATTCGTGCCGAGCCGAAGCATGACTCTCTCACACTTGTTGTTATATACACACAAACTAAAGAACTTTTAACTTTCGCATTTATAACATTAGTAAGATTAATTAATGTATCTTTCAGAGAATTACCACATTCAAGAATTTGCTGTCTGGTAAAAAAGGGGACAAAAACAAGGATACGACTGTTGTCAACTATCAGAATGGCAACATTAACTCAGTCGAGATCGAAACTAAGACTGAAGCACTACAAATCGACAACAAGTGAGTTCGTTAAAATTAAAACTCTAGGTTTTTTAAACGGTTCTTTAGCGGTGCTCGTTTGTTTGTTCAAAAGTAATTTGAATTTTTTACCCTTCCTCACCACAGATCGATCAATCTTACTCTTGAATCTGATTCCGATCGATTGTGGAATTACGTACTCTTGTGTTGCAACACTAACGCTTATTGCATCCGTATTGCGTGGATATTTAATGAACTAAATGGTATTGAGTTCAGCTTTGTGTACCGTACTCTGAATGCTATTTCAACAGCTACGATAGGGTTGTATAGTTTGACATTAAATAGTATTTATTTATTTTTAGCCATGGTCGTCCCACTGCAGGGCAAAGGCCTACCTGCTCTGCTTACACTCGTCTCTTCTTAAAGCTTTCTGTGGCCCATACGTGTCTAATATTTTTTCATTACCTACCTGACGGACTTATTAGATTTTTAATTTTCATACCCCGTCATCATTCCTATTGTATTTCTTTAAATGTTTGCAGATTACTATACGAGTCTGGTGGCACTCTATCGGAGTTGGAGTGCGCGAACCATGACCACCCGCTGAAGGAGGTCTTAGCCCCTACCAAGCCTAATAAAATACCTCTCATTACTGAGGTAAACTACTATATAAATATTTCCATCTATATCAACTGTTTGCCTGCCACGTGGTCGCAATTGCGACTAACGGGCAAAGTATTAATGGGTTTATAAAAAAAATCTATAATATCACGTAGTCCGGAGTTGTGTCCGGTATATGGCAATAGGTTCACCCCCTATTACATGGAACTCAACAAAAATAGTGAAAATTGGGTGTTACATTGTACAGTGGCATTACGTGCCGTAATGTGCCTAGGACATGTGTGATGTGATGTTATTTTATGTGTGTGTTACCAAAGTTGTTTACTAACACTTTTGCATCACATCGCACCCATTTATTCCTAACTCGACTAGTTTCAAGCTACTCAGGGGCTCATACATAGTCATGAGACTGATCGAGTTACGTGGTTAAACCGAAATTAATTACAATAACCGAACCTAATCTAAAATCTCTGTATCGACCTTTTTCTTGACGGAAACTCCATACAAATAATGTCACAAATCAATTATGGATTGAAATCAGTTACTATACTTTGGATCTTAAATACATATATGTATCTAAAGACGCGAGTTGCAATAAAATAAGAAATTAATTGTGTTCGTAGAAGGCGAGTGATTCGATACCAGCAAACTTGGCGTTGTTAGAGCAGGAAGTGAACACCGTGGCGTTGGACTGGAAGAGTATCAAGAATGTTACCGAATGCAGCTGTTCCACTCCTCTAGACCACTTCAGCAGGAAGGTAAATAGCCATTAACCATATCATACGTTTAGTTTCGAGCCTAATTCTCGAATCCTGAGTAAAAAGTCGGAGTTGCGCATTATATTATATTCGGCATGGAGTGTGGTGTGAGACAGGGAGGACTCACCTCTCCTCTGCTGTTTAACCTGTACATAAACGACTTGATCGGCGAACTCAGTGATACACATACAGGGTGTCATATTGATGACGTTTGTGTCAGTAATTTAAGTTACGCGGACGATATGGTGTTGCTGGGGCCGTCGGTGGGAGCGATCAGGAAGTTGGTGGCTATCTGCGGGACATATGCAGTGGAGCATGGACTGAAATATAATGCAAAAAAGAGCGAAATCATGATATTTAAAAGTAAAAAAAAACGCTCCATTTCATGTTCCGCCAATTATGTTGAACGGGGTGGCTCTAGGGATGGTGGCTAGCTTCAGGTACCTAGGACATATTCTCACTGAAGATTTGACGGATGATGCTGATTTGGAAAGAGAACGAAGGGCATTGGCGGTGGGGGTAATATGATCGTTCGGAGATTTGCGCGTTGCTCGGTGGAAGTAAAAATACTTCTGTTTAAGGCATACTGCCAATCTTTTTACGCAAGTAGCTTATGGTTGATCATACTCGGCGGGCCGCGGATGTCATTAGAGTCCAGTACAACAATGTGTTTAGGATGCTGTTGCGGCTGCCTCGGTACTGCAGTGCTTCTGCTATGTTTGCAGAGGCGCGCACTGATGGCTTTCATGCAATTATGCGGAAGAAAGTCGCTTCTATTTTCATGCGTGTGAGGGGCAGTAGCAACGGCATCCTGAAGATGATTGCTTCACGGGCGGATTGCCCAATCCAGCGGAGATGGATGGATATCGTGTTGGGGCTGAAGACGTCGGTAATCTCTCGATCTCTGTACGGTCCAATCACGCATAGCGGGTATCGTGTCTGATTCTCCAATGGTTTTGATTATATTGTTACTTTTGACATTGTTGAGTTTTATGTTTTATTGATAGTGTGACTTTTATATTTTGTTGTATTCCTTAATTTAAATTTTATTGCTTGGTTGTTAGTTATTTTCTTCATCAATTATTATTATTCTGGCTGTATGGACTTTGTCTGACATTAAATGAATTTATTATTATTATTATTATTATATACGACAGTAAGGCCTTGTTTACGGACACGCTGTCACGTTTATAGGACGTGTACAAGAGAGAAATAAAACTAGGTTTAGAATTAATAAAGTATGTGGGTATATTAAAAAAAAATTGAAGGGTCTGCCTAGGTCTTTAGCACTTGCTTAGTTCTCCACACTTCCCTGGCGAGCTCCCGTCCTCCAGGCGTAGTTCCGTCAGCTCGGCCACTCCACTCAGGTGCTGTGACAGGTTCGTTGTCCGGTTCGGTTATTGAAACCGTGACGTAATTCCTGGTGACAAGGGCCACATCAGTAAGCTGCCGGTATAAGGGGTGCACGGGAAACGCTAGGTATGCATGGCAAGAACTACATTGGAAAATTAGGGCTTACAAGGCGGGAAGAATTCCAGGCGTGATTCTTAATCGACACTGTAGGTAATGGTCGCTAGCAGAGGCGGTTACAAGCATATAATAAGAACATAGTGAAGGAAAAGCAAAACATTACACAAGGATAGAAATTAATAAGCTACGATAGTTAGACAGGCCCGTACCTTAAGATTAACGCAACGAATATAAAAAAAGGTAGGTAATGGCCGTTAAAATTCTTTATATAAAATTGTGCACAACTTACCCAAGTTTGGGAATCACAATCACTTACAGGTACTTAATTTAGTTTAGTAGTATGGATAAGCAATCCAGTCTCAAAATATTTTATACCTAATTATTTATGGCTTTATAATTCGCAATGACGGTAAGTATGCTATTTATCAAAGCGACAGCGTCCGTGCCTCAAGAGGTTTGGCAGCGGAATGTCGTCTCGCTTGCGCTCGCGCCGGCTCGTCGCGCGGCCGGGTGGCGGGGCGCGGCGAAGAACCTGTTACTCCATATATATAAAATAATGCGGTTGTCCGCATCACTTAATTGTTACAATTTATTTTTAAGTTAATTAATATTTTTATTTTAATAATATTAGTTTTTTTTTTATTACTACTAAGTAGTTACTTACACTATGTTACATTACCCCTCTCCCCAGAAAAAGGATTTCAACTTAATGAAATCCGCAAGGAGACTAATTGATAGAAACAAAATTAGTCTACGACGGGCCTACCCTGAGTTTGAGATCCTTGATATGCCAGACGCCAAGATCGCGACCATTCATGTCTTCCAAGACGTAAACTAATGGTGATCGTTTGACTTTTACGCGGCATTTTTGAAATTTAGGAGCCAACTTTTTACTAAAATGAGCATCTTTATCGCTCTGAAAGTAACAACGCTTCCAAACGATATCGCCCACATTAAACTCTGCATGTTTTCGGCGCAAGTTATAGTGTTGTGCGTTTTTTACATGAGCTTCCCATAAAGCAACCTGCACTTTATCGAATATTGGTGATAATTGGCCCAGGTTTGCAGCATAAGCGTCACGTGGTAGAAATATTAGGTTTGTTGGATCCGGATACTCGAGGTAATGAGAACCACAAACGACTAGCTCTCTTCCGTGTACCAAAAAGGATGGAGTATAACCAGTGCTTTCATTAACAGAATTATTAATAGCGAATTGGATTTGAGGAAGGTCTGAGTCCCAAGATCTATGATCCCCATCTACGAAACTGGAAACAGCAGTTATTATTGTTTTGTTGTATCTTTCTACTGTATTAATTTGTGGAGTGTAGGGGAGCGAGGGGCTTGTTGTAACAGTTTTCATTAAAACTCATATATCTTTGGATTTATTGATTAAATTTCTACTAAATAAAGATGGGTGGATGCTATAACTCTTCCTCTACCAAATCAAGTAAAAATAATACCATAATTATGGGTCATTATTTTATAATCAATTATTTTCTAGATGAAGTGCGGTGTTACAACTTACCTCGTGCTTGGGGCAAGTTGTAACGTCTACCGGGGCAATTAGTAACGACAAAAAAAACGACAATAAAACCTTTAATTATTTATTATTTGTTTATTTTTAACAAATTTGTCATTTTTTTAAAGTAAATTCTATATAATTCTTATCAAAAATCAACTCAAATACACTTTTTTAGTAATCAATACCTAAAAATTAAGTAATTAACAGTTTTATTTAGTTAAATACTACTTATAATCTTCATAGCACTTTTAAATCACAGTAAGTAATTAAATTATTTATATTTAGGTATGCTACGTAATCTCTTCTTAATATCTGTCTAAAAAACTATTTTTCTTATATAAGAATCAACATTTGGTTGGTTTCATTATAATTATATTCAGTCTTCATCTGAGTTACAATTAATACAAATAAAAGATATAGTGTCCTATGTAACACATCCTACATGTGCCCACATCTTACAAACGATACACACTACCCAATCTTCTTTATTTGAATCTGTGTAAGCTTCACCACTTACCAGACAATACCACTCTTCTGATTCAGATTATGAATCTGAACATAAAATCTTTTTTTTAGCTCTGTCCACGCCGGTTTTATTTTTTGTTGATTTACCTTTGCCTTTCCATAAAATTTTGGAACCAGTCAGTACCAGCCATGTTATTTTGATGCCAAGAAGGAGGAATGTTTTTAGCATTAAGTTGCACACCGCATTGGTAAGCTAGTTTCCTAACTTCTGTAGGAAGTAGTCCAAAATATATATCAGCGCACTTGAGTAGGTAGGAAGCGATCTTACCTTCTTCTTCTGCAGTAAATACTTGTCTAGACTTAGCATAACCAACTCTTAATCTTTCATTATTCTTCTTTTTTTTACATATCTATAAAGAGACGTGACATAATCCGAAAGTCTGACTAGCTTTCCGAATACTGCATTTTTTTCTAAAACTTCAGCTGCTGCTAACTGGTACACTTCTTGGCTTTGTGTTGCCCGCTCTGACTTTATTTTATATACCCTCATTCTAGAACAAATGAAAAAAATAAGTAGGTATCTACATAATAACTTGGGCTTGTAACACGTTACAACAAGCCCCGGGATTTTATTACAACTAACCCCATGATATGATTTTTAACATTTATCAAGATAACTCTTAAACAATTTAGCAATTATAAAAATTGTTACACATTACCAGAGATAGATAAATTTGAATGGAAATAAGATATAGAAAATTTGAAATTAGTCGATAATAATAACGCAAACCGAAATTTTACGATAGTACAATTTTATATTACCTGGCAAAAATGAACCACGTGCACACTTCCGCTTACTACGCCTGTCGACGGGACACTGGCTATGGTAATATGATTCATCGTTGTTTATAGGTCAAATCGAGTCAAAAAAATTCGTTAATAGCGTTTAAGATCCTATCGCAAAGAGCCTGTTACTACTTACCCCTGTTACAACAAGCCCCTCACTCCCCTACTTTGGAGTAAAATGTATGTTGGGAATTTTGTATTTTTCGAAAAGTTTATCTAAGTCTTTGCTAATAAACTGACTTCCATTATCAAGAATAACAGTTTGTGGAATTCCATGAACGAGAAAGACATCGTTCTCAAGATGTTTAACTATCAAATTCGAGGTGGCTCGACGAAGTGGGAAAAGAAAGCAATATTTAGAAAAGCAGCAAGTGACAACGAAAATAAACTGATTTTGTTTCCGGGAAGAAGGCAACGGACCAACCAAGTCAATTGATAGAACTTGGAAGGGACGAGAAACGTCTTTAGGCCTACCCATTTTTCCAGAGACACCATGGGTAGAATGTTTATGAGCTAGACATATTTCACAATTTGAAACAAATTGAACCACGCTAGAATACATACCGGGCCAATAAAATCGAAGTGCTAAGCGCTTATATGTCTTAAACACGCCGAAATGACCGGAAATAGGTTTAGAGTGGCACTCAATCAGAATATCTCCTTGTTGTTCTTTAGGAATAACCTTCTTCCAAGCAAA